ATTACAGGAAATGCTGTTCTCCCAGATGATGATAGTCAGAAGAGGCTCCGATTGAACGATGGCTCTTCACAGAAGATTGCCAGGAAACGAAAGCAACGGACTGTAGCTGTTGACGATAGCAGTTCTTCTGACTCGAGCGACTCAGATGGCAGCTCCTCCGAGGACGAACCCACGATCAAAAACAACAACCCCAACGACAGTTCATCCAGCTCTTCTAGCAGCAGTTCTTCTTCCTCAGGATCCGACGACGAAAGTGAAAGTGAGACTGGAAGCGATGATGACGATGATGGATCAAGCAGTAGCGAATCCAGCGATAGTGATTAAAAGCATTATCAAAAAGCGGGGATGGAAACTCATGAATTGGCGTTAAAGTGAGCGAGGGGCATTTGGCTAGGGATGGTTTATGAATAGGATTCATGAGCTACGCGAATACCCCCTTTGTACTCATCTGGGAGAACATGCTATGAAATCGAAATTTTGCAAACACTTGCAATAAGTTCAAGTTGCACAACGTGGATGACTGCTTCTACCTCCTAATTGACACTTGATGTTGTGTCTTGATGCGAGCAGCCCCGCATATACCCCTCATCGAAAAGGGTCCTGAAAATGATGAAAATATGCCTCACCGCTACCAGCGTTTTTCTCGATGAATTATCGGTAATATAGAACATAACCTATAATTGTGTTCTTACTTCTTCCTCAGAACTGTTGTAAAATCGTGGCGCTTTATACCGCCCGGTCTCAAAATGCTGCAAAGCCGTTGTGGATTCAAACAAGAAATACAGCACCTTGGCATCTGATTTCCTCTATGTATACAACCAATAATCTCATTTATATGCAAGATTAGATCCTTATCTGAAAGCCACGCATAAGTCCCTCGGTCTCGTGAACCACTCTCCCAAAATCGTGCATACAACATAGCGTCATTTCTCCCCACCCCTCCAATGAGGTGCCCATCATAAAGACAAGGTTACTTCAATTGATGCAACCCTCTCGATTCCTCGACAATCTATTATTTCCAAATACCAACATCCAAAAGTCCCTTGTCCCATATTCGTGCAGATAAATAAATCAGGAAAACCCCCGGATGGGATCATCCCTCACCGCGAACTTTGGGCTTTCTGCAGCGACGGAGGTGTGGTGATCTGCAAGACTGGGAAGGCTTACCGAGAATAGTCAAGGCAGCAGATTATTGCAACTGCCAATTTCGAGGACAAGCTAGCATCGGAATTATCAAACCCCTCCTTCGTTATTCTCCAACCACCTACCTCAGGCCTCTTCACACCTTTTCCACTCGTACATATACAAAGGACACATACATACGAACCACCACGGTCATTTTGGGCTCGGGAGGCAGCAGTTCGTCCAAGATGACTCGAGTTATTGTGTATAGCACTGCGCTCATCGCGTTTGTGGCGGGTATGTCATAATTCCAAACCACCCAATTCCTACTCGCACATATGCTAATTATTGTTTGGAATTACAGCGACTGCAATGACCTTCTCGGCGATCTTTATTCCAGACTGGATAACGTACGACGTCTCCTCTAACACCGGCGGGCACTTCACCCGCAAAATCGGTCTGCATCGCTCATGTTCCTACAAAGATGGCTCCGCAACCTGCGAGCATTTCCCTACGAAAACAGACTGCATGGGCGATGAGCGGTATTTCTGCTCTATGTGGCGATCTGTGGGGTTCTTGATGTCATTCGCTGCGGTGCTGGAACTCGTCACGATCGTTGCGTACCTCGTAATAATAAATGGCGGGAAACAGAAGAGGGAGACTGGGTGGAGAATATTATCGTTCCTACTTTTCTTAGTAGGAATTGTTCAATGTGCGGGTATGGCTATTGTGGTATGTTCCTCTTGGTTCGGATTTGAGGAGGGGTGCCAGGAGCAAATACTGATGACGTTTACAGGCATATGTTTTCGACAACGACGAACGATTTTTCGCAGGCTGGCAACTAGATAAGAGCTGGATTCTCTGTACAGTCAGTTGGAGTATTGCGATGTTGTCGGCGGCGTTCATCTCCTTGTCTGCATTTGTGTTCCCCAGCGAGGGCGGTTACGAATTGATACCCAGTGAACGATACAACGGTTGATGGAGAACAGAGCAACATATTGTGCATATGAAGTCAATGATTGTAGTTTGGGCGTTCTTGGGATATATGATTTACGGACTTACGGATTACATACATCTCGTCTCATATGGGATTTGGTTGTTGGGTTTGCAAAAGGCATGTTTAGTCGACATTGTATGCGGTTAGGGACCGGAGGCAGGTATAGCGTTTGAGCGCGTATTTAATGTTAATTTCTAGCACGAGGCAACAGTATCAATGCAAGCATTTTACAAGATCGACATTCAGCTCTTGAAGGATCCCACCAAATTTCCATGTCGCAAGTATCAATTGGTATGGAACATTTCAAATGCTACCTAAACACTTCGAAAAATTCTCAAAATCACTAAGTTTACTAGCAGGAATGAAGTCATACGTGTCTTCATGGAGTATGCAATTCTCCTCAATTATATATCAAAAACTTGGATATGTTCAGTCTGTGGCGTCGATTATACTCATATCTCACCTGATTTCTAGGGGGAGGCTCCTGGCTTGTGGACACGACGCTGTCACGAATCGATCAAAATTCCGACCTGGCATTTGTGTGAGCATTCGATATGTTCAAAGTCAATGGAGTGTCATTCTCGGATATCGTCATCACTAACAACCAGATCTAAACCTAAAGAGCTTTAAATCCTACAGTCCACTATTTTCACCACAAATACTCCATTCGTATTCAGTATATAAGGAACGTAAGTCCCTGTGCACTTGAACAGGCATAAACACAGAAAGAAACCCACCACCTAACGTCAAGCTGTTCCCAAGCTATGGATTCCTGCAGATTCTTTACAAACTTATTCTAGGCATTATCACTTTCGCCTGTGCTGTGATCTTCTCACCAAGCCTTGAACCTTCAAGTTTGAAGTCAACCTTGTACATCAACAACTGAAAGACCACCTAACAGCAGCGACCTTGGAGGACAGAATTATGGAATGCCAACAACAACCTCAAAGTCATTCTCATCATTCTCATCATTCTTCCCTGTGACAATATCCTCGGAAGATTGTACATCCCTCAGGGGACCTCTTCAGAAGCTTAAATCCGCAAATGGCCTACTTCTTCCTCTGAAGGCCCCTGAGGAACTGCCCAGGTTTCGCTACAGAGCTTCGACCAACGAAGATGGTGGTGTCCTCGTACTTGCAGGCAATCTTGGATTTTTATAGAAGACTTTCAATTGCTTCTGATCTTAGTGTTATATTTCGAATGGCTTTATATGAATTGAATCTTTGTAACGCCGAGATAAGTGAACTTCTTCTATCGTAAATGAAGTTGATTTTGGGCTTATATGTGGAAAAGGAGGGCAGTGTGCGCTCTATAAATTCCTCCATACGCTGCTCGAGGAGGAGGACAAGCAATTAAGTCACCACAGCCAGGCGGTCATGATGGGTTCTTCGTGATGGTGCTTATCAGGGCATTGGTTCTTTTACCCTTTCTCAAAACCAAAGGTGGCGATGATGTCGAAGATTTTACTCAAGAAAATTGACTAAAGTTTGCTGAGATTTGCTGGGATCATTTTTTTAAGTTGGAAACTTTGCTGTCGTGGGCTATTTCGTTCGGTTACATGTCACGTAATGTTAACCACTTACTCGTCTTGCCTTTCAGGTCGAGCCCCGAGAAACAATATAAACCCCTTCTCTGTTCACTCTTCAAATAGGAAAAAAAAGCTAAGTGCTACTTAGCTCTTTCCCACATCACGTTCAGCTTCTGCCTCTAGATTCGCATATAGTCAATAATAAGGAACGTGTTTCGCTTTTAATTCGGGGTACGTCCCCGACCGGTTTCTTGAGTTTTCGTGAAGAGGCGAAACTTTTTAACCACTCACCCTCCGCCTCACTTTTCCTTTACTGTAGTCTCAAGTCCCTCTGAAGGGGAAAAGATGAGAAATAGACTTTTAAATGATGTTTTTGATTCCACGGGACATACCTGGAAATGGTTCATCTCTTTACTAGCTAAGAGAAGGAAAGAGCAAAACGAGCGTAACATAAATACCAGTATTGGATTATATCTTTCGTTCGTAAGTTCACTCAAGTATTCAACAGAATATACGTACAAACATAGCAAAGTATCACTTAATAAAAAGAAAATTCTACGGGTTTCTGCCCACACAAGGAGTAAACAAAAGAAAAAAGGACAAGTACAACTCCCAGCTATCAGGATCGAACTGATTACCTTATGTGCACCAACACAACCCTCAAGGGCAGGCGTTCCCTAAATGCCACTCAACGGAAACCGTCACAAGGGACTACCCACAACACTTCTAAACCGGTGCGCGGTTTTGCCTCATATTGCTCAAAGAGAGATATAACTATTGTTCGTTGTTATAGGAGGAATATTTGGGTAGGAACATTTGCGGAGATGGGCACGTTGTGACAGAAAGAGCGTCGTGAGGGGGAAGGCGCGACTTGGGAAAAGAACAAGGAACGAGACTTTAGAAATTGGTTCATGGAACGCTGCCCAAATAATTGGAGACAAAAAACTGTGCTCGAATGAGTCCAAATGATGAATTTGCCAGCTATCAGGTTTGAAGCGATGGTATTCAGTGCTCTGTGTGATCTCTCAACGATCGAGCTTCTCTCGCCTCTAAAGTGTGAGCATTGAACGTCCGAAGAGTGTGCGCAACAAACGTCTCGCCACTGGATCAAACGAGCTACTCATGATATTCTGTAGTAAAGAAAAGAATTCTCATGTCTCTTAGACATAGGGGAAATTTTGGAAATTTGACAGGGAAGCTTTGAGAAGCGAAGGAAAGCCGGAACAATGAGGAAGGAGTGAAGTTGACAGGCATGTCAACGCCGATATTCAACCTGGCTTTTTGAGCGATTCAATCAATAACATGACTCATCTCACAAGAAGGTTTTAATGGTCAAAAAATCAGAAAAGAAAGTACCAGCTATGAGGATTGAACTCATGACCTTCTGTGCTCTCGTCAGAGAACTGACCCTCAAATAACCTATAGGGGGCGCATAGTTGTGAGACAGACGTCTTTACCACTAGACCAAACCGGCTATGTTTGTTGAAACAATAATTTTAAGAAGCTATTTGTATGCATTTGTATTTTTTGCGGAAGGCGGCAGGTGGGTTTGCCGAAGTGTCTACGGCGAGAAGGAAGGAACGACCTGGAGAGTTATGATCTCATGCTTAGTGGCATGCTCTGAAATTTTGTTCTTCAAAATTGAGGCGCAGAACACAGTGAATTCTTGACACGAAAAGTTCTGCCTGCTCCATTTATATAACACCATTGAGTTGAAAGGCGGTCAGTATACGTTCTGTCGTAAGCGAGGTGCAAACAAGGTAGCGTATCGCAAACACTTCAAAGTCTAGCTAATCAAGTGACCGTCAAGGCTCAAGGACGATGATCAATGTAGATGAAAATATCATTCGTTGCAGTTATTACCTTGGCCCTCACTTTTTCTGTACTGAGGGTTGAGACTTGCGTAGGGATGTGATTTGCTCGAACACTATTTTCTTGGCACGACGTCTGGAAAGGACTTCTTCTGCCGGAAATAATTAAAACAGACCACTCTTCAGATCACAAAATGCAGTAGCCAAGAGATTTAGTGTCGAAAGCTTTTATTCATGCATATGAATCTACCCTCTAAATGTAGCCCGAATTCCGGACCAAACTCCAAGTGACCAAATAGCCACAACCCCGCAAACAACAGTAAGGACAGTAGTGACACCCAACCCGTAAGCAACCCGCTCCAATGCATGCCATGCTGCCCGCTGTTACAAAGGAAATACAAAAGAAAATACAGTATGAAAAGAAATGTAGCAAGGTATCTTTTCCCAACCAGATCAATCAGCCATCGAACCATTTCATCGAACATTCAGCAAAGTTCCATCCCTTGGTATTTCCCCGTCGCTTCATAACTCTCTCCAAGTTTAGACACCGGAAGCCTCAGACTCAACACCGCTCTCCTCAGCATATGTGTTCCAGTTCGTGCAAGTAGAGTTCATGGTATCATAATCGATCAAAGCAGAAATCTCAGAATATCGCTCAACAAGCTGAAGAGCGAAACCCTCACCAGTGTGCCATCCAATGTGGCAGTGCATCAACCACGCACCTGGGTTATCAGTGTAGAAAGCAATAACCAAGTATCCAGAAGCAGGCAACATCGCAACATCACGTCTTGGAGGGTTGGTCAAGCTCAAAGAGGTGGAGGTGGAGTAAGTTCCCGTTCCTTGACCCAAGATGTAGAAATCGTGACCGTGGAGATGGATTGGATGAGGCACAGCTTGAGTAGTTTCGATGATGAAGTAGACCCACTCGTCGGCGGTGTCGAGTTCAATGACGTGCTCTTGGGTGGTGAAGGTGGTGTCGTTGTTGTAGACTTGGAGGAGGGTTGGGTCGGCCCAGGTTGCGTTGAAGGTTACGGCTTCCATGTACCATTTGAAGAGACTGTTAGATTTGCCGACTGTGACTGCGAAATCGTCTTCTGTGCTCTCAGATGAGGCATCGAGAGCGAGGTAGGGGACGAGGTCGGTGAGGGCCTCATCGTCGCAGTTGTCGGTGTAGGTGTAAGCGGAGGTGGTTGGGTCGGAGGTGGAGGTAGAGTCGTATCTGAGGATACCCTTAATGTCGTCTGCATTGTCGTTGTCGCTACAATATACTTGAGGAATGGCTCTGATCCAGTAGTCGCCTGAAGTCTCGGTCATGTTGACGATGATATCATATCTTTGACCCATACCGATGGAGAGAACAGTGGTCTCGTAAGGCTCAATTGGGACAAGATCCATTGCAATGACGGTCATTGTGTGATCGTCAATCATGTACTTGAAGTGAGTGTCGATGGCACCGTTGATTAGTCTAATTCTGTAGGATTCGCCTTCAGTGACAGTCATCTCGAAGCGAGAGCCGGCATCGTCATAGGTGTTGGTCCCATTAATGAGACCATTGTCAAGAGTTGGAGGCCCAGAAGTCTCAGCTTCATAGTACATGGCATCGGCAGTCTCGTGGGTCCAATCGTTGAGGAACATCACACCGGCACTAGATGGGGTAGTCAGCATTTGCTTGATGCAGGAAATTCTGGGGGAACATCATGAAACATTATAGAATTGGAAAAGGGGACAAACTCATTATCGTAGTTTCCTGTGGCTGGGCCATTGATAACAATACCACCGAGGACACCCTCCCAAGCTTGGAGCTCGAAGTGAGAATGGTACCAAGTTGTGCCGTATTGGGTTGCTTTCCATGTGTAAGTGATTGTGTCGCCCGGAGCAGTTGGGCATTGTGTGATAGATGGAACACCATCCATCTGGTTGGTGTAGTTTTGGCGAATGCCGTGGAAGTGAAGACCAGTTCCATTGTTTGTAAGACCATTGTAAAGAGTGACAACTGTGAAGTGTTAGAGATTGCCACAATGGGAGAGTGTTTTTGGAGATCTTACCAACAGTGTCACCCCAATCAGCGAATAGAGTTGGACCTGGGAATGTCCCGTTGACAAGGAGGACATTCCTAGAAACACCGTCAAGAGCTGCTGTGGTATTGACCAGCTCAAGATAGTATTCTCTAGTCACTCCAGTATCTGGAGCTTCATCGTAGTAATTTGTCGAAGTGTCGTAGTCGCCCCAGCAAGAGCGATCACTGGCTGAATTGGTGCACCGTTTGCTAAGCGAGTGTAATTGGGGAGAAGGGGCCGCGAGGACGCCCGAGGACATCAGAGCCAAGCCGGCCCCGAATAAGGAGGAGAAAAGCATGACGAAAGAGTGTCAGAGTGAGAACGGAAATGAGAGATGAGAAAAGAGCAAGAAAGTGACGAGGCAAAAGGAAGAACTGTTGCTGAAGTGCGAATGAAGGTGGATCGATGGTTGATGATGCTTATGGGAAGAGGTACCAAAGACTTATATACAACTAGGCAAAGGACTTCAACAACCGTATTGAGATGTTCCAAGTCAAAACAATAGCGCCACAAATCCCAATACGGACTGATCAGTTCCAAGGACAATCCGGATAGAACGGCAACAGCCAAGAAGAGCTCACAGTGACATAACAGCTCACCGCGTACTCGGGAATCAGAATGCATCTAAAAGATCTACCGGGAATATGGACTAACTGGACCATAATTGATTGAAAGGGGTATGTAGCCTTGCTGTAAACGCAGCTCTGGGCAATGAAGCGGTAGGTGCACAGTTTCCAGAAAGAAGGCTGAGCCACAAGTGGAATTTCCCCGGTAAAGCCTTCTAGACAGTCACCGTGGCAGACAAGCTTTGGAGGGGTTCGTGACGACTCATGGCGTGGCCCGCTCTTCAGCTGTCCAATCTTAACTTCTCAAAGCAAAGGGCTTACGCTGACTCGTCGACGTATTTTCAGCCCTCTCGAAGAAAACAAACGACCACTTGCAGGCTTCGAAACCAAATGTTTCTCGTTACTCGTCCCCGTCGTTATGCCATTCATCTGATGTGGACAAGTGGGCCCTATTCAAGCATACGCAGTCCCGAACCCGTCGGCGTAACCGAGCCAGTAAAGGGGAGGTGGTGGAGCCTCCCCCTTGTTCTCTGAACATGAAACAAGTCACGTGTGTGGGGACACAACGTTTTCTGTACACGCACGGCCGATCTATGAATAGATAACCGTTTTCCGACTACAATGCCGATAACTCAGCCTCGCCGATAGAATGCGTGACGAGGACTACCCGGGTTGTAGTCCAGATCCGATATGACAAGCCGGTCCACAGACGACCTGGATAGTCTGGACTCCAGAAAAGGAAACTATCAGACGAAGTTTAGCCAGATAATCGTCACCCACGATGCATTAGACTCAGCCATGAGAGCTGTGGGGAGGGGAACTAATGCGTCACCCTTTCTTGAGATGAGCCAGGGCAACAAAGTTTTCTATTTCGAAGTTCGGATGTGGATTTTGAGTGCTTTTCAAGCACAATTTTTTGCCAGCGAGGATACTTAATCATTCTTGACTGCCGCAGGGAAAAATCATCCTCACTCTCACCAATCTCCCATCATCTGTCGTTAGCATTCATTCCTTACCTGCATTTTCCTTCTACCAATACCCACCTTCACTTCAATATGTTGTTCCAAGCCTCTTCCATTCTCTCTTTGTTGGCCTTAACTGGCGTGTTGAGTGCTGCTTCGATTCGCCCACAAAAGCGTACCTCCGTTTCTGACATTAGCTTGTGGGGATATGGTGCCTATTCGAACGGTGCAAAGATCTTCTATTCTGAAGGTTCGTAGACGCTCTTTCCTGACAAGCCTAAACCGCGTTCACATAATAATTTAGGATTGGCCTACATTGGATTAACGGGCCTTGACGATGTGACCGGTGTCCAGACAAACATTACCTTCACTGAAGATCCAAATGACACAACTGTCCCATGGACCATCACCGCCAACTCGAGTACTGTGACCTTCAACGAGACGCTGTATATGTACATTGTGCCCGACTCCGGTAACATGACACAAGTTGGCTTCGCAGCCAACGGCTCTGTTCCCGATGGCGGTGTTACCACTGGATTTGCCTGTAAGAACTTCCATATCTCCCTTTGTATTTTGCCGCGTGGCGAAAATGCGGTTCCAAGACGCCACCTCCCATCAAGTTGTGAAAAGGAATGGCCACTAACATTTCTCATCTCAGGGTTCGGGAAAAATGTCGCATATGCCGCGAGTGAGAGCGACTACGAGATGATGTTCTGGGGGCTCAACACCACTACTGAAGGCGTGTTCGGCCTCTACTGGAACGGCGGTTCTCTTCTCGATGGTGCATTCCCTGTCACCGTGAAGAGCACAGCTCCAACACACCCAACATCATAAGCTCTTGATATTGGACTCTCGGTAGCTCTTTTCTTTCGTTGGACATGGTCCGGAAGGAGAGGTGTTTTGGTGGGCTTTCTTTTTTGGTCCGAATCGGTCATTTGATGCGGTGATGGTTGCATATAGATAGTGGTGTTCTCTAGGATAAAAATTACTTGATTGGGTCTGGAAAATTCAATAGTGCGAGATTGTCAATCTGTGATATAGTATATGCTTCTTTCAGTACAATTTCGAGCTATGGCAT